GAGAGCCCAGCGCCCACCCGCTGAGAGCCCAGTGCCCACCCGCTGAGAGCCCAGTGCCCACCCGCTGAGAGCCCGGCACCTGCTCTGGCACAGCACGTGGAACTTCTTCCCCTGAGCTCTTGGGTTCAGAGGGCCTTGTGCAGGGGCCGAGGCGGGTCCCTGGGCCTCTGACAGGGGGAGGAATACCCACCCCCAGCTGATGTGGTTCCACTCATTTCTGCAAATGTTAGTTGCACCTGCTGAGTGTAAAACCTCCAGCTTTGGGGCTCAGGGTCTGGGGAGTGAGAGGCGGCAGCGGCAGGGAGGGCATGCCTGGGAGCCGGCAGCCACACAGCCCAGACACACATGTCTGCTCCCCTCTTCTCACCCGGCCCCCCTCTCCCCACCAGAGCCTGGCAGGCGCTGGCATCTGTCCTACCTCACCTGCAGCTGCTGGCCTCCATCCCAGCCCGAGCGGGGGCTGTGAGCCTGGGGCACAAGCCCTTTGGCAAGAGCTGGAGGTTTTCCTTCCCCAGACCCCCCAGGCCTGGCCCTGCCTCTCCCACTCCTGGCCTCCTCTAGGCCTCAGCCCACTCTCTTCAGTTTTTTGTTGTTTTTGTTTCTGTCCCATGGGTCCCCAGGGTCTGCTTGCTCCATCTCTCTCCTACACTCTGTTGCCCCCAGACTCTGGGATAGTGAGCCCACCAGTGGGCCCCCCAAGGCACATTACCAGCCTCACCCCATCCTGGCAGCCAGGTGGGAGCCCCGGCCCACCCCCAGCAGTCTTCCCCTGGTCACAGGGAGCTGAGGGAGGCCCCAGAGCACACAGGGGCCTGGAGCTCAGCCCGGAGCTGGGCCTGGGTCTGGAACCAGTTAGGCCCCCTGCAGGAGCTCCGGGGAGAGGAGGGAGACATGTCCACTTGCTCTTCAGGGCAACTCAGGGACTCAAACAGCCTCCATCTCCCCGAGTTGTTCCTGTGTTCACCGTGCTCCCCCTGCGAGCTGCTCAGGCCCAAACCCCAGAGCCATCTCTGACTCCTCACACAGACAAGCCATCAGCAAAGCCGGGGGCTCGAATTCACAGCCTCTTCTCACTACTTCCAGCGTCACCGCCCTGGCCAAGGCCCCATCTTCCCTCACCTGGAGGATGCAGGTTATGGGGCTCCCTGTCCTGCTGTCCCCTGCAGTCTGCTCTCCCCCAGCAGGCAGGGGTCCTTAAAACCCAAGCCTGATCGCGCCCTACCTCCTCAAACCCCCAGAGGCTCCCATCTCCCTGGGAAGGGGGTTTGGAGGGGGGTTAAGGCTCTTACTCTGACCTACAGGCCTCCTGTGATGGATCCTTCCCCAGCCTCCCACCCAGCCTCCCTGGCCCCCCTCCCTCTCTCCTCACTTACTCTGCTCCAGCCACAGGGCCCCTTGCTCCTCAGCCAGGCAGCCATGCTTCCGCTCAGGGCCTTTGCACTGGCTGTTCCCTCTGCCTGGATGCTCTTCCCCCAGGTGGCTGCCTAGCTCCCTCTCTCATCTCCTTCTGAAATGCCTCTTCCTGTGTAAAATGGCCTCGTTCCCAGCCCTCCTGCCCCTCCCTGTCCCCTGCCCTGCCCTTTTCTTCTCCACAGCCCTGGCCACCTGACACACTTGATCATTGGCTTATGCGACTGGCCCCTTGTCTGTCCAGCCCCTCTGGGTGTCAGGTCCACGTTGTCCCCTGCCCTGCCCTTTTCTTCTCCACAGCCCTGGTCACCTTCTAACACACTTGATCATTGGCTTATTCGTCTGGCCCCTTGTCTGCCCAGCCCCTCTGGGTGTCAGGTCCACGCGGGCGGGGAGAGGTCCACGCGGGCGGGGAGTTTTTGGTCTTGCTGTGGTCCAGAGCAGCACTGGAAGGATGGAGGCCGCAGTTAGAAGCCAGGAGCCTCTGCGTCCAGCTGTAATGGGGCCTATGACGTGGCCCTCACAGGGGAGGGGTCCACTCCCCTCCGGCTGGGCAGTTGCCTAAGGACATGGAGCTGGGCAGGATGTCCTGCCTGGCCTGGGCCCGTGCTTCTTGCCTTTTTCTGCGCCAGCCTGGGCCAGGACAGCTCTACCTGGCAGGAGGGGCGGGCAGTGAGCCACTTGCATCCCCCCCCCCATCCCTCGTGCAGCCGAGGGCGGAGGGCCTTCCTGGTGGGAATGCAGCCGAGGGTGGGGGAGGTGCGCACCGACCTGGCTGTGCCCTCCAGGAGGCACAGATGCACGGGGCTCAGGACAGGACAGACCCCGCGGGATGATGGGTCCTGGGGGAGAGATGCACCCGGGGGGAGAGGACGGGCCTGCCTTCCCACAGCTCCCACGCCCGCCTCCCCATCTGTGGGGTGGGGGTTGGACACTCCCAGCAGTGGAGCCCGGGGTAGGGGTCTGCCTAGGACAGTCCGTTTGGGAGGTGGCCTCTGAGACACCGAGTGTGGAGGTGAGAGGGTGGGTGCTTTGTGGGGCCCGCTCCCGCCGTGGGCAGCAGGCTCAGTCCCGCGGGTACCTCTGGGAGCCAGGAGGGTGGGAGCTGCGGCGTAGACGCCAGCTCCGCATCATCACTTGAGCTGGAACCCCGTTCCCCTGCCTCATTATCCCTTTAAGTGTTGTCACCACCGCATGAGGTGAGACTTTGTCACTTCTTGGCTTTCTCCTGCGCTGGAGTGTACACTCAGAGGCTCTCTGGAGGCCAGATGAGATGTTGCCTCCTCCACTTGTCCTGGGAACCTTGGGTGATTTTTTAGAGGAGGGGGGGGGCCTGGGGCCTGGGGGCTGATACCAGGTGAGCGAGTAGGAGGAGGAGGGGAGAGGGTAGGGATGGCAAAGAGCCAAGGATCAGAGGCCAGGGAGTTGGCAGGGGGCTTTTTTTTTGACGGGCCAGGAGCTGAGGGGGAGTGCCTTTAAACCCTTCCCGGCTGGGGTGAGCCCACCTGGGCCCCCTGCCGGGACCTCTCTAGGTGAGACCTGGCTCTGCCTC